CTTAATGACGATCTTTATGAAAACCTTATGAAGCAGCTACTAGTATTATTTTCATCTTATTTATGGGTACACCAAAGTCCAGAGAGGTTATTTACTCAAAATTATAATGCCAGTAAGTAGAAGACCCAGGATTTGAACTTAAGTCAATTAATAATAAAGCCCATTCTTTTATCCACTACATCTATATTGTTTTCCTAAGCATTAATAAACCATAAGATCAAGTCAGGGCAGAGTCCTGTAGCAAACAGCAGAGACTTGAATTAAAAATCAAACTTACTGAATAAAATAATACAACTAATTTTTAATGGACATGTCACTTCAGTTGCCATCTTGTCCACAATGACATAGTTAACGCCATGCTGACATCTTATTCCTTGAGATGATTGTTATTATTAAGAGCCATGGAGTTGGTTCCAACCCATAGTGACCCTGTATAGAGTTTCCGAGGAGAGGAGAAGCTGGTGACCGTGAACCGCCAATCTTATAGCTCAAAACGACCTTGCAGTCTAGCGCATTAATCCACAGCGCCACGCCAGGACTCCTTGAGATGATTAAAAGTCTATATTTGAATTCTGGCCCTACCATGTTTCAGCTTAATGACTTGGACAAATTACTGAGTTTCAGTTTCCAAGTGAATAAACTGGGCTAAGGATTCCTGGTGTGGCGCTGTGGGTTAATGCGCCAGACTGTAAAGCCGTTTGAACTGAAAGGTTGGCGGTTCAAGCTCAACAGCTGCTCCTTGGAAACCCTATACAGGATCTCTATGAGTTGGAAGTCGACTCAATGGCTTTTTTTTTTTTTTTTGACTCAATGGCTTTTAACAACATCTAAAATCCTAGAGGTGCTCTGGTAGCGTAGTGGTTACGAGTTGGGCTGCTAACTTCACGGTCAGCAGTTCAAAACTACCAGCTATTCCGCAGGAGAAAGATGAGGCTTTCTGCTCCCATAAAGATTTACAGCCTCGGAAACCCTGTACAGGGTCTCTATGGGTCGGAACAGACTTGACGGCACTTAACAACAACAAAAATCTAAAGATTTTGCATAAACTTATTTTTTCTTGAAATATGTAGATGATTTTGCTTATCTTGAAAAACAGAAACATATTTTGTCCTTAAAACAATCATCAGCTGGAGCTGAGTGGTGGCTGCCCCCATTAGGCCTGTGGAACCCAACTAGACAATGGAATTTGCAAATCTTGAATAAATCCAACTATTTCATTCCACAGGTGAAGAAAACAAAGCTCTCCAAACTTTGCAGTTTCGTGGTCTTCAATGAGTAGTACTACAGAACTCCCTAAAGAATCTACAACACGGGAGGGACATCTGCTTGCAGGCACTATGACAAGGGTCAACAAAACAAAGTGGAGTCTTCTGCTTTTGTACTCACTATGTTCCATTTCTTTTGCTAGACTGGGAATTTTTAGATGCGGTAATTCACTAGAGATTAAGACTGGCCAGGAATCAAAGTCCCAGCATTCCTCGGGCTACTGAGCATACCCACAGTGTAAAATATCTGTGCTCTCTGTACTGCATTTCTCAGCCTCCACAGATGCTTTCCTACCCAGCTGGGTATGAACAAACACGCCTTTTTCTTTTGTTAATGGCCTTTTCTTTACCCACATAGGCAGTTAGTTAGGCAACAATAGTCTTCATAAGACACTAGCATGAGAAAAGAGGTTATAGAGAACAGTTACAGATGACAGGAGACCAGGAAGCTAGCTGAACTCTTAACAGCTGTGGCCATGACTTTCAATACATTGCAGTTGTTCGTTTTTAAAGTACAGGTTATGTCCAAATTGACACAGGTTTACACAAAGCATGGCCTAGCCTCAACTGTAGTGATGTTGATTTGTGAAACTCTTTGAAATCTTTTATTTTAAATGGACATGAGTATATGGAGTCATAGTTTCATTATGTCTACAGTCCAGATATATCTTACCTAGACTCTCCTAGGCAATGTTTGCTTCCTATTATATGTTGGAAATGTCATTGACAAAACCATAGTTAATTAGGATGGGAACTGCATGAAGAGTAGAATTACAAGAGATTCATGCACATGAATTCATTGTCTGATGATGGTAGAAATAAAAAAATCAAGACTGTGTTACTTAAGATTCAGATGAGAAAAGCAGGTTTTCTGTGGGCACTGAATTGGACTGGAGGTGGCAAGGCTGAGTAGCTGCTCAGGTTAGAGATTGGGACTTGTATAAAGAACCAGGAGTGAATGCATGACCAAAGGGCAAGTGCTCAAATGTGCATAAAGTCAATGACAGTTGAAACCAAAGAACTTGCCAAGGCCTACCTCTGACCTGTCATGTTTCTTGGAATAGCTACTGCATGTTTCCATGAGGGAAACTGCTACTAGGAACCATTAAATTCTCTTTTGTACTCCTCACTGAGCACTGCATTTTATAAAATCCTCCACTTTGGAGAAATATAACAGAATTCACAGCATAAACATTTACTTAGGCCACTGTGAGGTAATTCACATGTTGGACGTAGCAGAAAATGTTTTAGAGCAGTTATTATAATAATTCAGGAGCTCTGGTAGCATAGTGGTTACGAATTGGGTTGCAAACCTTACCATCAGCGGTTCGAAACTACCACCACTCCGCGGGAGAAAGATGAGGCTTTCTACTCCCGTAAAGATTTACACCCTCGGAAACCCTGTACAGGGTCGCTATGGGTCGGAGCCGACTCGACGGCACTTAACAACAACAACAACAATTATAATAGTTCAGTGAAGTCAAGTATATTTGTAGTAAATAGAGAAACTCTCAGCAGAAAAGTACAAACCATAAAAAAAAATCCAGTGTATAGAACTGAAAGATATACTATCTGAAATAAAATCTTTGTCTCCAATTTGGGTTGTTTTTAAGGGTCATCGAGTCAGTTTCGAAACATAGCAATCCTGTATAAAGTTTCCAAAGAACAATTGGTGGGTTTGAACCACTGAACCTGTGGTTAGCAGTCTAGTGCTTATCCTATAGCAGCACAGCAGCCACCCCTTAATTTACTTTCTTCATCTTTCTGTTCTTTTGGTACTTTCATTTCTGGAACTGGGTCAATTTAGAATGAAAAGAGATGGATTTACCATTGGTTCTCCTAGAAGGAACACGATCCATGGTGGTGCAGTGATTAAGTGCTCGGCTACGAAGTGATAGGTTGGTGATTTGAACTCTATGAGAGAAAGCCGTGGCAGTCTGCTTCAACAAAGATTACAGCCTTGGAAACCCTATAATGCAGTTTTGCTCTGTCCTACAAGGTAGTGGTGAGTCAGAATCAACTTGATGACTATGGATTTTTCTCCTAGAAAGGCACAAATCAGACCCCAGTTGTGGATGTTCTGAAGACCACTGAAATGGAAAGTGGAAAATAACTCATCATTTTGGCTCATATTTGATATTTTAATTCAAAATTCTTTTTACTTGTACCAAAACTAAACTGAAAGTTGCTAGGTAGTTTTTGCTCCCTGGGAACCTTGACTTGAGAGGTAGAAAGAATTTCGATGTTTGTTGAGATTTTGCACACAGTATTTTAAGGATGTAAATGCCAGGAGTTGTGTTTTTCTGTCTGGAATCCCTGATACTCAATACCCGGTCTGTTATTGATTCCTACCTAGCTCAATTTTTCTTTTGGAACATATTACACACACTGTGAAATGCATCTGCCAGGCATCTAAAGGAGGCAGGCTACATACAAATAGGACAAAAGTGATATTCAGCAGGATCATCGGAGTTTACCTTCTGAAGTGATCCTAATATGGAGTGCTACAAGGAAGTATTTGGAAGAGATCATTTCAACTTCATTTTGGGTTTCACACTGATTCTTTTCTCCTTTGTTTACTGAATTCTATATATGATGAGACACATATTTCAGAAACAGAGTCAGCTTCCTAGTTCCAAATATTCTGGCATTTAAAAAAAAGCAGGACCTGATAGAAAATGGCACAGTTGGTACCTAAATAGACTGAAAGGCCCGAACTCACAAAAAAGTGACCTAGCCACAGTCAGAAAGGTTATTAAATGAGCCTGAAATGGTTACATTTAGAAATAGAGGAAACAGTTCCTCTGGTGGCAAGGTGAATGATTATTTCATCCCATTAAAAAGAATTAAATGATGTTCAAAATAAGCGAATGAAAACTCCCAAAAGGTGTTCTTAGCAAACTTGTAATATACACTAACTAAATTCAGTTTTCACAGTTACGATGGACTGATGACTCTCTTAGCTAAATCCTCTATTAGAACCAAAAAGAACAAAAATTATAAAACTGCTTTTTTTTTATCATGGTTTTTCCACTATAAAATTATCCCAACACATTATCCAATGATGCAAAATTCTAGAAACTTTACCAAATTCCTCTTTTTAAAATTTATTTTTGTTAACAAAGAGAATGTTCAGAAACATTAAGTACTAAAGAATCTGTTCATGGCATTGTTTTACAAAAGTTCCTAATGGAGTGTGAATATTTTATTTTCTGATGTATGCTTGATTTATTAATGATGAGGTGGATAAAGTGATGCAATTACTTTTAAAAAATAAATCCAGACAACTTTATAAAGGAAAAAATGGCCGTTCTCATTCTGAATCTGTTGATTGGAGTGAACTCAGTGGTCATATCACCACCACTGGCTAAGAATCGACTCTCTTGACAGTAGGGAGTGATTTGGTCTTCTCATTGGGTCACACAGGTCTCTCAGATATAGGCACCATGTTTGAAGTCTCACACAAAATATGTCTGTGTCATTTAAATTATACAATGTGGCAGTGTTTGTTTTATGGGGACAAAACCTTGAAAGAAGGGGCAAAGTAGAAAACCACCTGTTTGCATGTTACATGTGAGTACATGACTGAACTGTGCATGGGTGTGAGGGCACTGCAGCCCTTGTTAAAGAGGAATTCCACCAGCGAAGCATTTGTCTGTTCTCAGTTGCTACCAATGCTGAGGGTGTCTACTCATTTAACCACATGCTGTGAAGTCAGGGCCTTCCTGGTTTATTGTTTGGCTGTTCATTTCTTCCAGGTGACCTTTATTTCTCAGCTTCAGGATATGTGGGGTACTTGACTGTTTCTATCTTCTCTCGAACTTTGTAAGAGGGATATAGGCCCGTCTTTCCCAGTTTTCTGTTAACACCTTTAGAATAGCCATCCCAGTGATTTCCAGCCACACCAATAATATCTCCAGGCTCCATGGGGATTTCATCTGCAGTTCGAGGTTGGTGAGGATAAATAGCAATCTGGTTGTGGGCATTCTGGCCCCCAAAATAGTAGATGTCATCCAAAGAATGGAAGTTTGCAGAGGCATCAGGATGCAGTGTCTGCATGATTTCATAAGCAACTCGACAGACCTTGGGAAAGAAAGAAAAAACAGATCTGTTAATACATAAAAACTGTCCTTCAAAATCTTTGACCAAAGAGATTGGGCTCCAGGACTCAGGAGGCTAAGAAGTAGTGATCTCCAGTCACAAGTGTTCAGTCTATTAAGTAATTTTTCATCTTTGTACTTTTATTTATTGATTTGTGCAAGGTTTAAAAAATTAAGACATCTGGAGGAAAAAAACTGTTTTATTGTGTTTTACATGAACATTGGAGCCCTGATGTGGTGCTACAGAATGAGCACTGGACTGCTAAACACAAGCTAACTGCAAGGTTGATGATTCAAATACACCAATTACTCCTCAGTAAATCTATACAGGGTTACTATGAGTCAGAAGCAACTCAACAGCACTTCAACACCAATGATGAACTGAACATTAAAGAGCTCTGGTGGCTCTGCTAGGTTGGTAGTTCACACTCACCAGCCACTGTGTGGGAGAAAGATGAGGCTTTCTGCTCATGTAAAGATTTGTTGTTGTTGTTAACTACCATCGGTTCCATTTTGACTCACTGCTATCATGTATAGGGTTTACAAAGAGTGGCTGGTGGATTTGAATTCACTGACCTTATGGTTAGCAGTTCCGTGTTTATCTGACAGTAAGTACCACACCAGGACTCCCTGTAAATATTTACAGCCTTGTTGTTGGTATTGCTGTTAGGTGCCATCAAATCGGTACCGACTCATAGTGACCATGTGCACAACAGAACAAAACACGGCCTAGTCTGGTGCCAATCTCACAATCTTGCTACACTTGAGCCCATTGCTGCTGCCATTGGGCCAATACTTCCCATTAGGGATCTTCTTTTTCATTGATTTTCCACTCTACCAAGCATGTCTTTATCCAGGGTCGACGCCCACCAACAACTGCCTCCAGGTACGCGCCCATCAGGCGCCAAACGCTTCCGTCCTACAGCGCAGGCGCCGCATGTGCAGGCAGCCAGGGACCGCGTGGCCACTGCCCAGTCAGCTGTTGTTGTTGTTGTCAGGAGCCATCGAGTCAGAACCGACCCATAGCGACCCCATGCACTGCAGAACGAAACAACGTCCGATCCTGGGCCAACCTCACTACCGCTGCCACACTTGAGTCCATCAATGATGCCACCTGGCTGATCCATCTCGTTGAGGGTCTTCCTCTTTTTCTCTGACCCTCCACCCTACCCAACATGACATCCTTCTCCAACGACTGTTCCCTCCAGACAATATGTCCAAAGTAGGAGAGACGAAGCTTAGCCAACTTGGCCTCCAAGGAGCATTCTGGTTGCACTTCTTCCAAAACAGATCTATTGGTTCTTTTGGCAGTCCATGGCACTTTCAGTATTCTCCTCCAACACCACAACTCAAAGGCATCAATTCTTCTACGATCTTCCTTATTCACTGTCCAGCTTTCGCATCCATATGAGGTTATTGAAAACACCATGGCCTGGGTCAGGCGCACCTTAGTCCTCAAGCTGACATCTCTGCTCTTCAATACTTTAAAAAGTTCCTGTGAGTTCCCAGTGAGCAGCGGGCAAAGTACTGCCAGCCTTTAAAGACTACAAAACCCAGCAAGCGACAATTAGCAAGCCACCACCTAGAACGATCGGCTTCGCTCACAAAAACCGGACCCGCGGTCGCACCTAGAGCCCCAGAGTTCCCTGTGAAACAAAATGGCCCCAGCAAGAGCGGAACTGGAGATGCGACCCTGAGCACCCTATGCTTGCAGGCACGGGGAGGCCTGGCCTCCCCCAGGGCCGCCACCTCTGCTGCCTGTTTTTAGTCCTCGCCTTAAAGTTCTGCCAAGCCAAAGCGCCAGTTCAAGAGGAGAAGCAGTTAGTGAGCACCTCAAACTTACCATGCTGGCTGATAAGAAGAGTTTGTGGTGGCAAAAGAATGTGCCTCATGTTCTAATTTCCAGACTAAAACCATCCCTGAGTGCAGTTCCACCGGTTA